TCTAAGACCAATTAATAAAACAAAATAAAACCATATTCTGCCTTCTCTCCCCAACTTTCCCCTCATGACGTAAAAGATAAACCCAAAAATATCTCTTTGGTCAACACATAGTGACTTTGGCTACCTACAGTTTTCTCTAAGGCCAATTAATAAAACAAAATAAAACCATATTCTGCCTTCTGTCTCCAACTTTCCACTCATGACGTAAAAGATAAACCCAAAAATATCATAGCTGAGGCCATTACCAAAATTTTAAACACATCTTACATTCCCCTAAATTTAAGTGAATGAAAAACCAAAATTCACAAAATTGCTCGTCTCATATCCTATATACAGCATTTCACTGGCCATAACTCATACAATACACAAGACAATAAGGGCATGCACTAAATACTTCATAATTTATGTCTCCCATAATATAATGTCCTCTTTACCAGCTTACAAACCAAAAAAAAATAGGTAGACGATAGCTTTACAATGCTAACCGAATCTTTCTGCTGAAAAGTTGCATTAATTCTTTCTACAGAGCCTTGCTAACACAATAGTGTCGGGCCTAATATCTTTCACTCATCCCTTTATTGCGAGATTCCACAAGTATTGCAAAAGCCATGGACCTTATCACAAACGCAGTAAGCATCACCATACTCCCCTAATACTTTAATTCTCAAATATCTTAATCTCACAAAAGGCCAAAATCAATTAAGTTTCACATATCACATCCATAATTCATTAGAAAAACAAAACTTGACATCACATGGTTCACATTAAACTTGACTTAAACCAAATAAAGACCCCACTTTCACCTTATATAAGCTCTTATCCAACACATCAAATGGTACACACATCACTTTTATTTGCATTCCTACTACAGTAATATAGAGCATAGTCACCTTAAGTCATTTACGGTTCGCTTCTCTGCTCAAGCACAGACTGCATACAACCCAAAGGGAGAAACCCAACTCAATTACGCCAACCGTCTATAAAGCTAGCACCCAGAAATAGTCCATATTCTACATGAAAATATGAAACTTCATGAAGGTAGATTGGCCAAAACATTGAACTATATCACTTAATTATACTATATAATACTAATTAGCATAAGCATTCAAATCAAAATTATACAAACCAAACCAAAAGATAGTTACACTACTTCCTCTATACATGAAAACAAACCTACATCAAGCACTACCAACACGTTTTGGCTTCAAATAAATAAATAATTAAAAACGATAAAATAATAACAAACGGTTAAAATAGATAAATTAGAAACCCTAAATCAAATAAACATTTTTAATTTGAAAAAAAAAACCCTCGAAAAATCCTAGATTACAAAAAAAATAGAGTTAAATTACCTATAACGAAGTCGTCTTCTTCGACAATCGACACAACTTCGTCAACTCAGAGAACAAAATATCCAGATTCGCTACGAATGACCTTGAAATTCCCGACTCAAATTACACTAATTTAACACAAATTTGTTGTTTAAAACAACAAATTGATGTTAAAAATGAAGAATTTGATCGGAAAATTTCATGAAACCGGAGAGAATGTAACATAATCTAGAGTAAAGTTAAGGGTTTTGATCAGAATTGATTGCTGAAATCATTTTAGGGTTTCAATCGAAAACTGGAAATTAAGAATTTAGGACTGAGGACTGAGGAGTGTATAAGGTGGTGAATGAGTACGCGGTAAATGGTGAGATGGAGGTTTGCAACGGTCATTTTTTTAGGTTTGACGGTGATACAATACAAGTACTATCACGCGGAAAGGTTTTTTTTTTTTTTTTTTTTTACTCTATATACATTTTTTATTTTTCCCGTCAAAAAAAATATTTTTTAAATTTTTACTCTATCATTCATTTTGCACTAGAGTATACCCTTGCAAAATGCACAGGATATATAAGAAAAAATATATCTAAAATGTGGAAAGTTGATTATGATGTTGTAATTTAAACTTGATCTGTAATGATCGGTTTTATTGAACCCTAATTAGCTCTGTTGTACTGATCAGTATTAATAATAATCGTATTAATAATGTGTTGACGTCTGTTGTGCTATGCTGAAATATGATACTCTATGCTTTGCTTAGAAGCTCAAAAAACAGGGTCTTACTCTTTTATGTCGGTGGCCACGCAATGCTATTATGGGGTTTACTTTTTCAAAGTTATAGAGGTTGTTACCCATTCAGTGTTATAGGGATTACTCGTGTTACTCAGTTAGTGTCATATGGGTTAGTGTCTTGCTCTAGGAGTTACATAATTTGTTCTGTTGTAAGTAGTTATTCGCTGAGGCCAGTTGCACAAAATCGTGTTGTACATTTTTTTTTGTTTTTGATGATTAAAGAAGTGGAAAATGTTTGGAGGGTAGTCCCTAAAAAAATGCATATAATTGAAGGGTTGGGGATTTAGAGTACTATGGTGAAATGTTGATAAAGGAACTGTATACTCGTAAAACAAAGTGAAATGTTAATTAATACGTAGTGTTTAAAAAAAAAAGTGAAATGTTGGGGATTTTGAGTGATATAGTGAATTGTTGATAAAAGAACTATATACTCGTGCTAATGCATGGCATATGTTATACTACGTACCAAAAAAAAACACACACAAACAAAGTGAAATGTTAGTAGTATTCCCATTATATAAAAAAAAACACAAAAAAAAAAAAAAAAAAAAATAGTGAATGGGTAGTTATTGATTTTTTTTTTAAATGATAATATTATGATAAAAATAGAGTAGTGAAATGGTAGTTATTTTTTCCTTAAAAAAAAAATCAAATACATGAGAGTTAAGCATTGGGGTTTTGGAGGGCTCTTGTTAAAATGACTCTACAATTATATTATAGATTGCCTCTTATCAATATTTTTATTGTCTCTTCACTTTAAAAATATACCTCCTTCATCTTTTAAAAAATACGAGAATTAAGAAAATGAGAGGTTAAAATACATACTACAATACATAAAAACAAAGAGTAAAGTATAAGAAATGAGTAGACCACAAAAAAATAAGTACTGATATGCATGTGGGTGGAGGCACAAATGTTTAGATAAAATATGAGGGTAATTTAGTTATTTAGGTGGTTGAGTGAATGAAAATAAATGAGGGTAATTTGGTATTTTATATAGTCTAAAATGTTAAAATATGAAATGATAAATACATGATGCGCAGCCAAAAATAAATACGAGAATCATATTGGGGATCGTGATCTAGTATGGAGTAAAATAAGTTTAATTCAATAAAATCACTAACTTGAATAGATAGTATGTAAAAATTAATTTCATTTTGTAAAAAAATTATTTCAAAGTAGTTTATATAATTTTAATTTAGTAAAAATAATTTTAGTTCATTAAAAATAAGGTATAGTGAACATGGCCTAACTTATCTAAATAAACTTGTATTTTGCACTCTTTTTTTTTTTTTTTTTTTAAAGAAGATCATACAACGAAAACAATAAAACAACGACAATCGCATTATGTACCCAAAACACTAGGAAGGACCAATGTGAGCACACTTCACACGAGCTCACTTGCTAAACTCTAGATCAAGAGACAAAGTTGGGCGTCACTTTGAGCATACATGATCCACACTGCAACTTACAAACACTCTATCACAAAACATCAATCTTACCATGGCATTTGAATATGAGAACGAGAAATAGTTCATTGTTGTTGATTCAAATGAGACAAGAATCCTAATCCTTGATGGCAAAGGAGGAATTTATTGAAACTCAAGATCTTGAATATTGCCCTCAGACTACCCTTGAACCTTTTGCCAGACTAACTTGAAATGTTGTAGATGTGATCAACTCTTTCAAAACATGCATGGTTTGCATTTATGTCGATTGTGGACGATCGAGAAGAAACACTCAAGACCCTTTGAGTAGAAATGGCTTGGTTCTTTAAGCCACGTAAAGGAAGAACCAAAAGATTAGAGGTCTAAATATGCTTCTGTGAATATTTCACCTCTATCAAGATTTAAGTTTTACTTATTAGGACAACCTAAACCGTCATTACTAACATAGACCTCAAACAATAAAAGCTAAGCACATTACCATGCATAAGACGACGCTGCATATTAGATGATGCAATTTGAAGAGATGAACCACAACATCCACAATAATCGATGTTGGTTCAAACCATTATCCGATTGTACTGACTCTGGACTAGACGACTCCAAATTAGAAATCTTCTCAAGTGGAGAAACCCCACTAATAGGACCTTCAACATCACATTCCATGTTATCCTCATTGGGCAACACCTCGAGAATGACCTCCATATATCTCACAAACATCTTGCTTGTCCAAAGAAGCAATTTCAAAAGAGGCACAACACAATAGCCTCTCAACCTCCTGTAATTCCTTTAACACTGCCATATTCCTCGAATCTCTAGTAATGCTTACAAAGGTAGGATTTGGCAAATAGAAGATCATCTAACCCATTAAAAGCAAAGGTTCTCCTAAACAAGCATTAAGTATGATAGGAATCATACCTCAACACAAAACGGGACATAATATAATTAAAGTATCAAATAGCAAAAGCCTTCAAGGACGATGAGAAACTAACTAAAACATAATATTAAACTTGCTAAATTACACTTGGAAAAAAGCTTAAACTTGCGTTTTTAGAACAAGGAATTACCTTCCTCCGTGAAAACTTTAGAACAAACTAACACATTATAAGAATAAGCCATGGAGTCAAGGATACGAACAACATACTTGTCATTAAACTTAGCAAGAAGATGAAACACGGCGTAAACAAGACACAAACCCATCCGTTTAACAATAGGATAAATTATACAGAAGTACAAAACACCTAAAGTGTAGACAACCCTCACCACCTCAATATTTTACGCGATAAAAGATGAAACTCCGTATTCCATAGTATTTTCTCATTTTCTCATACGGAGTATACACAAATACGAGTACACAATAACACTCGTCTCATTTTATACGAGCAAAGTTGGCTTGATATACCAACCGACCTTGTTATAAAAGTCTATTGAATGTCTACGTGCATTAGGTGTAGACACCCAACCACCATTGTTGAACACGTCCATCTTCTTCTCTTTTATATTCCTTCTTTCCCAAATTTCTTCCTTTATATATTGACCAATTAATTTATTCATTGCAATTTTTATTTACTCATACAAATAGAAAAGTCTCATACTTTCAAACACCCAATCCAAAATTAAAATAATCCCTAAAAAAATTTTCTGTAATTTGATCTTCTAACTACCAAATTTCAGCTTTGCGGCTTCTGGGTATTCATTGATCGCCGCCATGGATGCAACCTCGAGCTCTGCCGTGGTTTCGCAGCTGAGATTATCATCTCCCTCGCTTCGTAATTCCAAATCCAGATTCTTTGAGTGAGTTTTTGGGATTCGTCATTTTAATTTATATTCTTACGAATTGATTCGATTTTGTGATTTTTGCATGCTTGGATTAGATTGGGTATTCTTAAAATTTTAAACTTTGTTTTGAATTTAAATGGTTCGTGGGTTTGATCCACCATTTAATTAGAAAAATTCTGATGTTAATTTTAGCATTTTTGACTGATTTGTTGTTGTTGCCTGTTGGCTTTTTTTTTTTTTTTTTTTTTTTTTTCCTGGGGTTTGATAGAAATTAATATTGCATGTATTAGTATTACAATTTACAATTTCTCAATTTATAACTTAGGAAGAATTTGCATGTTCAATTTACATATTTGACACTTTTTAAAATTCATTTTGTTTAAATTCTATTGGAATCAAAGTTATTAAAATCGGGATTCTACTTTGAATCGGAAGGGGTCGTAAAATCGAATCGTAGAATCTTACCGACATGTATAATCAAGACGTGAAACATAAATTTAAATAAATATATTGAAATTATGAGTTTAAAACCTAATTATTGATAGATAATAGTTATTTACCCATTAAGCAATGAATATACGAAGTATATTTTTTAAAACCTATATAAACATATTTGTTACTTGTAAGGATTTCGCTAGTTTAGAAAAATATGTAAAATCGGTTAGAATCGTAAATCGAATCATATGATATACATGAATCGTAAAATCGTAAGATTTTAAGATTTAAATCGGTATTTTAATAACAATGATTGGAATTGCACATTGTATAATGTAATTCGTACTCCCTTGTTTTCTCCGTATTCATATTTGTAATTCTTTCTTTCCTGCCTTTGTGGTTTCAATGCTATATTACTATCCTTGTTCGGAATTAATTGTCACGTTGATAGTGTAATTTTTAAGTGAAAATGGGGATATGAAATCTGTAGACTAGAAATGTAGCAACGAAGTTGTTAAACTAGAAAATGTAGTAACAAAATCCGGACAGATGTGGGATTTGCCAGTGTTGTGATTACTTTTACTCGTTCAAAATGGATTGGTTGGGTACATGGATTCGAGCAAATCTCATTCCTGCATCTTACACCTTGCTATTGCATTATTCTGTTGGCAGTTCATGTCCACAAATCAGAAACTACATGCCTCCTTGTAGATATACATGTAGGAATTCGTCATCCGGCTCATATGCAATCATGTCTTCTGAGTCAGCGGAGAGTAAAAGCAGCAGCATTAGTGGATTTTCCTATAGTCAACCAGAGAAGAGAAGTAATGTAGTGGGTAAAACATTTTGTTCTGCTGCTTTATACACAAGCGCTTATGACGAGGGCTTGGCTATATCTCCCTCTCATGTTGTGGAGGAAAAGATTGGGGTGCTTCTTTTGAATCTTGGAGGACCTGATACTCTTAACGATGTTCAGCCGTTCTTATTTAATCTATTTGCCGACCCAGTATGCTCCCTGTACTTGTTTGTTTGTTTTTTTATAGCACTAGAAGATAGATGATATTATTAAATTTATCTAATTAGTGTCTCGTAAGTATTGGATTAGGACATCATTCGCCTTCCGTCGTTGTTTCGTTTTCTGCAAAGACCCCTGGCTCAGTTGATTTCTATGCTAAGAGCCCCTAAAAGCAAGGAAGGCTATGCTTCTATAGGAGGAGGTTCACCTTTACGAAAGATAACTGATGAGCAGGTGAGACAAGTTTTCTTTATGGACCGTCTACTTTCTTCTCTTCCATATCCTTGCTAAATTATTTATGTGTTTTGGGTTTTGTAATTCCAATAGTTTGCTAAGCTTATTGAATTGAACTCTGTTTTGAAGGCAAATGCACTTAAGATGGCATTAGAGGCAAAGAATAAGAATGTATCTGTCTATGTTGGCATGAGGTACTGGTACCCATTTACAGAAGAGGCGGTTCAACAGGTTCGCTTTTGTCATTGTACTCTTTCATCATTGCTATAATAAGAGCACTTGTTTCAGTAAAACCTGTCTCTATTATGGAACCCCCTTAGTTCCTTTCACGATCTGCTGTATGCTGTCTTTAGAAACTGAACTGCATTTAGTAGTATACGTACCCATAAACGTGTATTGCTTATTCTACCTTTTTGGACCACTATTTTGCCCCTTAGATTTAGGCATCAAACCAAGTGCAGGCATATATAGTGGATTATTACAGTAACAATCATGAGTTACAATATTCTGATTTGCTTTCTTGTGCTGTAGAAAGTGATGCTAATTGTGGAATTTTGTGTTTGTTCATTAGTATTATTACCATTGCACTAAAGGGGAAGGTTTTGATTCTTTACATTGGATCTTTCAGTTATATAGTTTCATATTATTATATTAATGAATATTATATGTTAGAGTTTGTGCTTATGTTCGAAATGATGTCTGCTCCAAGTATCTATTTCTGATTTCTGTAGCCTGTCCATCTGTCCTATGTAAAGTTATGTTGGAGCAATGCAGTTGAACATTCTTCATTTAATTTTCAGATTAAGAAAGACAAGATTACAAGACTTGTTGTCCTTCCTCTCTATCCTCAATTTTCTATATCTACAACAGGCTCTAGCCTCCGAGTTCTCCAAAACATTTTCAGGTAAACTTGTCTTCGGGATGTAATTGGGAAATTGTTTGTATACGTTTTCATACCTTATTGGCTTACAAAATTTTTTAAACATTGTCAGGGAAGATGCATATCTGTCTCGCGTGCCTGTAGCTATCATCCGATCTTGGTACCAGCGAGAAGGTTATATCAAGTCCATGGCTGACTTGATTGAGAAAGAGCTGCAATCCTTTTCCATGCCTGATGAGGTATGTTAGCTCTTCCATTCAAATGTATATAGTTTTATTCAAATGTACATAATTTTTTGGTTCTGGCCATTTGATTTTGAAGCTTTTGGAATTTTAAACTGTCATTGCTGTCACCAATGTCTAGGTTATGATATTCTTCAGCGCTCATGGTGTGCCAGTAAGTTATGTTGAGGATGCTGGAGATCCATACAAAGATCAGATGGAGGATTGCATCTTCTTAATTATGAGAGAGTTGAAAGCTAGAGGAATCGATAACGGACATACACTTGCTTACCAGGTTTGTTATGAGCCTGCATGGTTTCCAATCTCTTTTAGTAGTTTTTTTTTTTTTTTTTTGGGTGTTTAGTGAGCCACATCTCATGTAGTAGTTTCATTGCTGCTTTCATTTCCCGTCTATGTTCTCGTGTCTATACCTCCCAATATTTATACCGAGTATTCAGATGTGTTTTTATATATTCTCTTTGCTAATTTTATTTCTCATACCCTTTTTGTTCAGAGTCGAGTTGGGCCTGTGCAATGGCTGCAACCTTATACTGATAAAGTTCTTGTTGAGCTTGGCCAAAAAGGAGTAAAGAGTCTGTTGGCTGTTCCTGTGAGGTGAGTTGCATATAATAGAGCTTACTTTTGTCTATGCTCTACCTACTATTGTTGGACATATTGTGGCGCTAACAACTTTTCATGCATAATTGAGTGCCATTATTGGATGCTGCTTACCAATGGTGAGATACCAATTTTCTGATTTTGTACAAGATTGTTTCAAGTGAACATGTAGAAATTAGATATAGTAGTAGATTCAGTATGGAGTTCACCAGTTTTTGGAGAAAGAAAAAATAGTGAGTAATACTTTAGTTAGTTGTGTTGACCATTCTCTAGTAATTAGTAATATTGAAATATGCCTGTAAAAGCACTGATGTCAGGGTTGATAAAAACTAAATTTGCCTTATACCTGTATTGTCTGATTAGTAATTTTTATTTGGATTGTTGCGTGTCAACTTTTTGCAGTTTTGTGAGCGAGCACATTGAGACTCTTGAAGAAATTGATATGGAATACAAGGAATTGGCGCTTGAATCTGGCATTGAGAATTGGGGTCGGGTTCCTGCTCTCAATTGCACTTCTTCTTTCATCAATGATCTAGCTGATGCTGTCACTGAAGCTCTACCTTCAGCAGCTGCTATCACAACCAGCACATCTGAAGAAGTCGATAGTGATCCGGTCAATTATTTTGTAAAATTGTTTTTCGGTTCACTGTTGGCCTTTGTCTTGCTTTTGTCCCCAAAGATATTTTTGGCGTTTAGGAACAACCTTTTGTAGAAATAGATGGAAGACTTACCAGATTTTGAAGCCTCACGGTATACATAAAACTGACTGCAGAGGAGAATTATACGGAGTAGAAAATATGGACTTAAGAGGATGCTTATATTCTTCCTTTTGAGCTTTTGCTCAACTTCCATCCCGACAAATACTAATGCTCAAGATATTAATGGCTTACATTGCCGATTTTTATTTATTACAGTAAGATATATTTTTTGGCAAAATAAAAATAAAGTTGTTGAGTTGGTAACCACTTATTATTGTTGCATGTCTCTACTGATTTTGCCATGGCCACATAACCTGTATCTCTTCTTCTTGTCACGATACAAGGATATTCCATCCTCATCCCCTTTCCATATTCAATGACGCCCACCACAATATTTATCAACAAAAGAATTATCATCTTCAAACGCTGCGATACTTATCCCTCACTAATACTAACCTTTATAATCTATATAAAGTAAAACAACAACCGCTGACATCATCACTTTTTCAAATTGTACACAGTTGTGATTAAAATTTTTCCTGCTTAAATTAATTGCTGGCATTATATTTTTATTTTTATTTTTTACATTAAATTATTATAATAGTTATTTTTAAAAATAATTATTATATTATATTATATTCCATATATTATTAGGGTCGATAAAAACTAAATTTGCTTTATACCTGTATTGTCTAATTAGTAATTTTTATTTGGATTGTTGTTTGTCAACTTTTTGCAGTTTTGTGAGCGAGCACATTGAGACTCTTGAAGAAATTGATATGGAATACAAGGAATTGTCGCTTGAATCTGGCATTGAGAATTGGATTCTAAAATAACATTCTACTCTTTGTTCTTAGAGCAAGATTAGCGCAGTCTTATCTTAAGACTTTAATTTATTGCCAAATCAACTTTTTAGATTAATTTAATTATTTTTTCTAATTTATAATTATGTTAAGACTCCTTAAGACTCGATAAAATTTATCTCTTCAGTCGCTCAGACTCATTTTTTTACATATAAATTAAATTATTAATTTTTTAAAAATAAAAATTTAAATTAATTGAGTGTTATATTGAGTCTGAAGTTGAGTCTTGAATTTTCAAGACTCCACTTCAGATTTTATTAAGACCAACCTTCATAAATGCTTAAAAATAACAAAGTCTTGTCTTAAGACCGCGAAATTAGAAATTGATGATGTCATTTAGAATCTTAAGACCCAGGGCTAATCTTGCTTTTATAATTAAATCTTAAAACTATATATTATAAAATTAGAGAATTATCTATAACCCATTATAAAGAATTTCAAAATTAAACATAATTTACTAACGAAATCATGTAATAAATGATATCATACCAAGGTAATAGGTGCACACATTACTGAAACTCAGGTTTATCAGTGTCCTAATTTCATTTCATCATGTATAAATTTTATAAGCAATTACAAATTGTTCTTGCTAATATAAAACTCCATTATATTAGTTTATATAGGGCAAAGTATTCAATCTTTTTTCTCCTCCATACGAGCCACACGATTAACATTCCATTGACGAATAACATAGTTAGTGCCACATACATGAACAACATTTCTGCAGAACACCATAGAACAGCTGGAGGTGCCACAAACTTCATATCATTTGTGAGAATCCTGAGAAACGATACAAATCTAACCTAATATACATGTGTAGTTTTACATAATTTGTTAAATAATTAACAATTTTAATACAATTTGTTTCAGGTAATTGTAGACGACACTTAAAAATGTCTTCCCGACCAAATATGAATGATGAAACAATCTTCATTTCCTAACTTACTCCAATTCGCGTAATGGATTAAAGAATTACTTGAATAGTGTTTTTACCCTAATCCACTATTATTTTTTTTTTAGCCCAAAATCTATAAATATTCATTCGATTTAATTTTATTTTTGTCTATCCCTTCTTCGATTTTCCTTTTTTTTTTTTTTTTTTTTACATATCCCAATACCGAGCAAATATGATATTCTTACCTTATAGGATAATCCTTAAAATAAGTTTTCTAATGATATATTATAATTTATAAGGCTACCAAACCAAATCATTTACGTTCGTCGATTCCACCGTCTTCGTCGACTATACAACAAGCAACTCAAAAACAACTCAATAGGTGTAATTCCATAAATTTGGTTGGTAACTGGAAAATCGGGTGGTAATTCTCAACAATTATCTAGAGCAGTTGTTTTTTTTTAAATGTCTCCTTCTAGATTACAGAAAACTAGACATGAAAACAACCATCTCTGATTTAACACCATAACCTATTATTACAGGAAATAAGTTTTTGAACTACAAAACTAAGTCAATTATTTTTTTCACCAACATCGACCCTGATGTAAGCGCTCTGAAAAAAACATATGCGTGAATGCATATATAAGAGGTTACATTTGGGTACACTGTTGAGCAACTCACAATTGTACATAGAGAACACTTCTTCCAGTGACATGCCTAAAAAAAAAACTATTAAAAATAGTGCGGGTTTTCATCAATAATTATAGAATAAAAAAGAAACATAAGCCTAACAAATAAAAACAATTAAATTATATTACAACGTGTCTTTCCAGATCAGGCATATCAGCAGTATTCTTCTTACACAAAGAGCAGAATCATGATTTACCAGACACAAATACAGCTGCAGGAATATAGCCAACTTGAGGAGGTGTCGCTTGAACAGGAGGAATAGTTGGATCGATTTCTTCCATCTACATTGTTACTTGAGTATATCAATAAACATAACATATGAACTACTTTACCAACAAATCAAAATAATGTAAAGGGACTAACAGTGTTCTCTGTAGGGAAATATAGGTACTACGCAGCGGAAAAACATGAATCATATTCATATAGTACCTAATCCCAAGAACTAATGCATAACACATAAAGAACATATAATCGTACCTTTGAAGCGTGATTCCACGTGCGATCGAATAAGAACAATGGGAGATAAAGAACCACAAGCGTGATTCCTCTACTTAGTCCACGAGCATGGATTAAACCTGCACTAATGCTAGTTAGTTGTGACTGAACACTTCAATCAACCTTTAACGGAGATTTGAGCCATGAACACACCACAACACCACCCAAGCGCCACCCGGGGAGGAGGGTCGTACGGACAGGGAGGAGAGAGAGGGCCGAGTAGAGAGAGAGAGTTAGGGTTTTTGGGAAACTTAGTTGCTTGTGTAACAATTCACTGTATGTCAATTGTTCAGTCTTACAACCCTAGGCCTGATTTATATTTATAGATCATATCTAGAAATAAAATCATGTCAAGTCCAAAACCCATTAGACTCTTCTAATTATCCAAGCCCAATTATCAATGTGGTATGTCATAAACTCATGAGGCCTAATAATGGGTCTCTAACTTGTTTAACCCAATACTCTTATGTGTGACCTTGTAGGATCCAATCTATAAGGCTTTGGGCTATTAAGCTAGCCCAAAGATCAATTGTCATATCTAGCACCAAACATTGACGACCCTATAAAATGAACTTATTATCTCCATAATAGTGATCCTTGATATATCTAGTAATTGCACTTATCGAAGACATAACTCTTTCATTCTTTACATTCATGATCATTAAAAACATTGTTACAACCAACACCTCAAACTTAACACAACCGTGCAATCAAACAATTCAATTGAAAAACTGCAAGACATATATCATCTTGATCACGTAAAATGCTCATTTGTATTTCTAATGTAGCATTTAAGGGGTTTAGGAAATAATACATGACTTTTTTACGCAATATTTGTGTTTACTAGAGAAAAAGAACAGTTAACCTCATTTCATAACTCTATCAAGAACTAGTTCAAGATGAATCAACGAACTAGCAAAGATAAGATGAAGCTATATACAAATTTAAACTAATATACATGTAGTTTCACGTAATTTGTTAAATAATTAACAATTTTAATACACTTTGTTTCACACAATTGTAGACACCTAAAATGTCTCCCTGGCCAAAGACGAATGATGAAATAACTTTCATTTTCTAACTTAATTCCGATTGTATGACTCCTCACTTTAACATATCCACGAAATGTCAAACCTTACCAAAAATAAATCTCAAACATGTTAATGATGCTTTCAAACGAATATATTATATTTTTTATAGGTTATGACTTTCAAAAAATTATTACTGTTGATTAGTCTTATTACTCTTGTACAATTCATTTATTGCTAACTAACTGGCTTGCTTTCAAGTTTAAGCGCCATGCCAAATTGCCATGGTATTAGCCATGCCCTAGCCGAGTGAACAAGTCAGGTATGAAATTTGTGGCAATCTTGATAACCCTTAAATAAAAATAATTCTAGTGTTCGTTGTTTGAGAAACCAAAACATGTTTACCAACTAGATTCATTTATATACTTATAAGTTTTGAGAGTGGTACCAGTCACGTCAATATATTTTATATTGAATTTCTTTTATATTTGACAATAAATAGATAGGTTTTTTTTAAAGGTTTAATTTGTTTCTCAAAAGAACCCAAACCAATAAAAATACGAGGAAATTCTTGTTCATCAGACTGATTTGCGAAATCAATTAATCAGGGGGCAAAAATGTCTTTTTCCTGGTAAAGTTGGGGGCAATATTGTTAGAGGGGAAAACGGATGAATGACATGGCAGACACTTCCAGTTGACATGGAAGACGTTACCATAGTCAAACTAACGCTTGACTACTCAATTTTGTATTATGTCTATTTGCGACATTTTGCTCATGCAATTGTCTGTCCTGTCTCCTCTTATGTGTATATGGTTGTAACTGGGAATTTGATTTCACTGTTAGTAGGGTTTTAATTGAATTGAGTACTGATTGTATTATCGTGATTTCGTGTTTTGGCCTTTTGTTCTTGAATTTATTATGAATCAAAAAGCTAAGCTTCTTCGAATCAAATAGGTTCAATTGTTTATGCAACATGCTGAGATTGCAAATGAACACACTATGTGTCCATGTAAGTTGTTTTGAATCCAATTTGTGTAATGCCAACCTGTTGTCGAACTTATTGTGAGTCCAAATTGGCACTTTGGTCTGCGTCATTAGAAGATATTCCGTAATTTATTTCTTTTATGGTTGTTTGTTCGCAATCTTTGCAATGAGTATTAATAAATTTATGAACTGTTTGTTTCATTGTTTTGGTTTGTTTGTAGTAGACAACTTTAGATAGTATTTTACTCCAAAATATGCAAGACAGCAAACAAGTTTTCCAGGCAATGTTCAAGGTAAGTTTTGAATTACACCACGATACTCTCTGGTGGTGTTTTTCATTTGTGTTTGATCGTTTGAAATGTACCTGTAGGATGATAGTTTGACTGTTGGTGGGAACATAAAAGCTAAAGGTGAAGTTTTAAAGGAGTTCTTTAAGGCGAGGTCTAAGGTAATGTACGATGTGTTTTGTCTTCCAAGATTAGGTAAATGTAATGTTGTTGTTATTGTTTCCATCTAATGTTGATCCAAATTCAACAGCCACCAAACCTGAATTGTCGAGTGGAGAGTTTTGCCAGAATTTGTCAAACCTTTGATTCACGTAGGAGGTGGGTTGCTGAAATGGGCTTTGGTGGGCTGTTGTATTTATCTGGTGACATGCATCTTCCCAGGCAGCTGGGGTACTGGTTAGTGACCCGATTGGATCCTATTAGTAAGATGTTATTAACCCCGGATAGAAGGTGTTTAAAGTTGTCCAAAAATCAAGTTCATTGGGTACTTGGCATCCCTAATGGACCAAAGATACTTCCATCATGCAAAACATTGAAGGGGGTACGGCGGGAGAAGGTAAAAAACATTATTGCAAAATACGGGACAACACGGAATAAGGGACAATCAACTGTATATGATAAAGTAGGAATTCCGGTGTACCCTGAGTTATTGGAGAGGCTTGAGGGTTACTGGGAAGAGAACGAGGAGGAAGAGTTCAAGACGCTCTTTTTATTGATTTCTTTGGAAATGCTCGTGTCCTACTTTGTCTACTAGACTGTCTTCTGACTTGTTACCTGCTTTGACATGTGCTATGGAAGCCGTTGATTATGATTGGTGCACTCTGGTGCTATCCAAGCTGCTTTCTAGTGTCCGTTCTTTTGCCCGTAGATTTTATTCTTATGGTCATGCCGGTGGATGTGGTGGCTGCATTTTATTTGTCTTGGTACGTTGACTGTAATATGTTTATGTCTGTAGTCGATGGCATTTGTTTTTAATCTGATCATTAATTTTGTTGACGGTTTGTGACAGATTTATTACTTGGACCGGCTTGATAGAGAGGCTGTACAATGGGGTGTTTTCCCCAGGTTGAAGGTGTGGTCAATGAAGGAGATATTGAGTGCTAGCAAGGAGGACAGATCACCCAATGGAGGTGATTATGGATGCAAAGGTTATTAGAAATCATTACAAAAGCAGCAGAACATTAAAGTGCCTAGGTCTTTTGCCTTGTGCAAAATAATAAATAATTCTATGACTTACCCATCACATTTGCTTAACTTCTCGGGGATTTTCCGCATTATGTGCCAAATGCACCAACGGTGACGAGCAGTTGGCATTTCCAGCACCAATGCCTTTCTAATGGCTGCAGCTTGGTCGGTAAGGATTGCATTGGGCGGCTTATTACTCATGCACGCCAACCATTGTCGAATTATCCAAGAATAAGTGTCTGTGTCTTCATGCGATACCAATGCACATCCCAACAAAATAGATTGTCCGTGATGATTAACTCCAACAACATTTATAAAAGGAAGCTCATACTCATTGGTCAAGTAAGTTGCATCCATGCACACCACATCTCCGAACTACTCAAATGCTGCCCTACTACGAGCATCCACCCACATGACATCTTTCATCCTTCCCTCACCATCTATACGGTGAAAGTGGTAAAAATTGGAATTATCAGCCTGCATTCTCTCAAAATATTCCATCATAGCAGCACAGTCACCACCAGCCATATTCAGCCGCGCCTTCCTCTCCTTGTAAACTTCATGTTGTAAATCCTTCACCGTAGGGCAGTTCTCACCATCCTTACCCAACCCTAAACACCCATGTATCTGTGGTACAGAGACACCCTCATCAAAGAAAGTAATTAGATTCCTTCTAACATTTGTAGTGTAATTCTTCATACGGTATTCTTTTACTAACTTGGACTTGGTAGGAGATACAAGGTGGGTATGGTCGAGAATGACCTTTCTCAAAACCCAAAGACCATCCTCATTGACACTACCATAAATTTTTGCTTCACAAAGACATTTTTTGGAGGTTCTTTTCCCGCGCGCAAGCTCATCTTCCAAGACAACTCCATCTACATCAGCACTAGTCCCACCCACATCCATAGATTTAGCCCTTTTCTTTGCCTCCCTACTAGCTCTCATGTCTGGATGACCCCAACATTCACATTTCCAAGTTATACCCCTCCTCACCTTATCCTTCTTCGAACTATATCCTTGAGCCCTAGTGACACCAAACCCTTTTTGCTCAGCATACTGTTTATAATAGCATTCAACATCCTGCCAAGATTTAAATACCATGCCTACTCTAGGAGTTTCAACCAAAGCAAATGCAGAAACTTTGTTAGTTGAGACAATGGTTTCAACTGTCTCAATAGTCTTCATTGGAGACACCAAACCACTGGGTGGACATTCTTGCGAAGGACCTTCTCCAGAAACAATGACAGGAACAAAACAATCCGATAGTGGATCAGACTGGATATCATGCCCCTGTTCCTCGACAGAACTAAGTTGAAGATCATTGTTTTCCATAACTTATCTCTGTATTAACATTTGTATTATAAGAAATTCAAATAAATGACAACTTTAATAAGACATTTCACAAACAGTAGTTTGACCATAAGTAACAATTTATACAGTACTCAGCTCATAAGTAAAAGCAATTTATACTATATAATCATTCAACACATATAGTTAGCTTATAGGTAAAAGGAGAATAAACAATTCAACTTAATAAAATCGGGATAATAGGAGGAAATTCAAACCCAATCCCAAATTACAAAAAGACCCAAACACGCTAACTGTATGTGAAATGCACACCACTTTTTTATATTATAGCAATTGCAGCTCCCATTAGCACGGTTACAAACCAGGTACAGCTAATATTAATAAAGTTCACACAGCACTAAAATTTATCAGAAAAAGTACGATTAAAGGAGAAGAGCAAGAAATTAACTTACAAAGAAAGATGGGCAATGTCGATAGATTTTGAGCTACCTGACCGATCTACCACATATACTCTAGATTTTAAGCTCATCTTCCATTTTTCGAAACACAAGATGAAGTAGATCTATGATAATAATTTTCAATTTTAAAATTCTTTCTGAATTATGGGGGATGGACGTTAGTTCAGGATTGAACGACGTTAACAACGTCCTTCTTAACGGCGCAAACAAGCCCGTTAACATGTTCCATGTCAGCAGCGGTACAAATCAATAAAAATATACTACATTTGCTCAAGAGGGCCCACAGAAGCAGCTGATTAACAAGGATTGGTTAATCAGGCTGATCAACCGGGTCGGCCTCTAAAAATACATTTCTATTTTTTAGGGGCTTTCATCAAATCTTACCAATGGTAAGCCTTAGAGATAACAAATCGAGAATATGTCAAATCATTATATATTTATAATATTTGGATTCTTAGTCCCATATGGCTTTAATCAATGAAAATTAGTGATTTTTTGGACTTCTTAAAAAAATAATAATAAATAAATGGAAAAATGGATATTAAAAATCCAACATTTGAGCGGTCTGACGTTAAAAATCCAACTTTTTAATTATCTCACAAAAATCCAACTTTTATACCCGCCTTCATCTAAAGATCCATTACTTGTTGTTGAATGTGTCAATTACTAATAGGTCCATTATTTTTTTTAATTATTAAAAAACCAAAAAAAAAAAAAAAAAAAAAACAGACAACCCAGCGTCCCAGCCACCCTCTCCTTCCCTGACCACCCCATCTCCACCGACCACCGCCCATTAGCCAACCCACACTGCACTTCCCCTTGTCCGTCATGCCAGCCACTCAGCTTACCCACCGTCAAATCCCCTAACCCCCAAAAATCTCCCCGACCTGCCTGAAACACAACCCGAAAAACCACCCTTTTCCCGATCGACCACTACTTGCCCATCCCACCCTTCGCAAGCCCTGACTCCCCTACCCTTCCACGAACCCAGAAGCCTAGCCCAGCTTCCATCATTAGGGGATTTGCATTGATTGGAATTGGAATCTGATTGTTTGGATTTGTGGGTGTGTTCAATCGTTGGTTTATTGATTGTTGTATACAAAATGTTATAATTGTTGGTATTTAGATATATATGGATGTATCTTGTAATGCATTGGTTAGAGTTAATACATAGATTATGCGCTTAACTTGTTCATGATTTAGACATCAGAAATGGCCATGGTGTTGGCTTATCATTGATTAAAGTGTGATCATGGTGTTATCAAGATTTAGAAATCAGAAATGGCCATGGCCATGGTGTTATCAAAAGGGAGGCTGCATTGTTTGGAGAGACTGCTTGTGGTTGAGAAGTGAAAGTGAGAGAATCAAAAATAAAATAATAATAATAATAATAATAATAATAATAATAATAATAATAATAATAATAATAATAATAATAATAATAATAATAATAATAATTTAACCTGTTTAACTGGTTAAAAGATTTTTAATGTTAGACCGCTCAAAGGTTGGATTTTTCTTTTCCATTTTTCCTAAATAAATAAACATGATAATATGTCACAAAATTAGTGATTTCAAACAACAGAGGCATCAGTACTTAGTGATTATGTTGCCCCGACTACATGATCGGGTACATTGTGATGACATTTCCCCAAACACATGATTAGGTACATTGTAATGACATCCCATTTCATTGCAATAGCAGAGGCATCTGTACCAAAATACTCAAAATACTGAATTTAACACTGGAGACTTGAATAGATAAATGATGAAGGAATTCCAAACAAGTTATAAGATTACCATATAGAAGAAACTAACATAACCATCCAAAATTTTACAAAACAGCAAATGTATTTAAATTCTAACCTACTACAGGCACAAACTGTAACTACTTATCAACACCTCTCATACAAACACTAGCTCTGAGGTGATGCTTTGGCAGCTCCATTAGGCTGAGCAGCAGGCTGGGAAGCAGAAGCAGGAGCAGGTGCAGCAGCAGCCACCCCATTATCATCAGCTGGATAGGCAGCAGGCTGGGAATAAGCACCACCATAATACGGCTGCTGTCCATAGCTTGGTGGGGTTACAGGTGGTGCGCCGTAGGCTTGGGGATAAGCACCGGGCTGAGCAGTTCCAGCTCCATAAGTAGCAGCAGCACCTGGTACAGCTGATGGTTGTGAGGGCGGATATCCAGGCTGACCAGCAGCAGGTGGAGCATACCCCCCTACCTGAGATGGTGATTGCTGAGGCTGACCGTACACTGATGGGTTTGGTGGTGTTTTCTGGCCCTGTGGTGGCCCATAGCCAGGGTATGCACCTGTCTGGGGTACAGATGGAGTCCCATAACCAGGTTGTGAGGTTGGTGGAGCACCATAACCAGGCTGAGTTGGGTATGCAGGGTTAGGACTAGGCTGGCTCCCAATGTATCCCTGTTGTGCTTGCCCAGACGACGGTGTTTGAGCAGTCTCACCTTGGGTACCATAGGCAGGAGGGTGACCATCTTGAGTTGAAGGGTTAGCCGCATTTCCATAGCCAGGAGTAGAGCCATAACCCTGGCGCTGATCATACCCAGATTGAGGATTAGCAGTCGGTTGGCCATAACCTTGGTATCCAGTCGCATATCCTTCTTGAGAGTATCCTTGTTGGCTATACCCACCAGAAGTTGGAGGCTGACTGTAGTTGTAACCAGTGCTACCAGTTTGGGACCCATTAGGTGGTTGCTGCTGCTGAGTTTGGGGTTGCTGCTGCCCGTAATAATCATATCCAGTTCCTTGAGGCTGCTGAGTTTGAGAAGCACTTGACTGATCCCAGTTTTGTGGAGGATAGCCAGGGTAAGGTTGTTGATTGTATTGAGATGATGCACCAGGATAAGCTCCAGGCTGCTGCATGTAACCATAACCGGCAGGTTGCTGCATTTGAGGGGGTTGAGGAGCCCAGTTTGTAGGAGGCCGTGCTTGGTAGCCTTGCTGAGAATATCCTCCAGTCATTGCTGGATTTCTAAGGCGATTCTGCAAAGAATTTATGTTCTCATATGAACCTAGATAACATCTAGCAGCTACTACTAGCATGTACCAAAAAATGGATACACATATATAGACAATAGTCCCCCAATGTAAACATATATAAGCCATGTAAAGCAATGTCAAGAATATTAATAATTGCAAGGCAGAATATATCAGAGCAATATGGTTTAAGCACAACAGTTATTTAGCCAGAAACAAAATAAAACAATGTAGACTTTTAAAATCCAATAGATTCCAAGCTATATATCATGTAGCTACTCAAGGAGTCAGAATTCATGAATAAGAGGGGGTTTAGACGCCTACATACCGTACTGGTTTGTAGAAGTATTGACTTACTCCAGCGGGTGCCCAACCACTCCCTATTCAAAGTGCAAGGGTACAAGCAATATACAAACTGTAGAAGTGCTAACATATGAACTAACCTAAATAAAGTACTAAAATATAAATTATCAAATTATGTAAGGAATGAGCCAACAGTTTAAAGGTTATGCAAAAGGCAGAAAAATATTATAGCAGTAACAATAATATTTAGCAGATTTAGAGAGAGTAATATGAGGATTGAACTCATGGTTTAAACAACTGACAGCCAAAGAAAGGCAATGAGACTCATAAGAAATACTCGCGTAAAGACGACATTGGATATAATTTCAAATACTGGCTGTCAGCAGATTCACAAATCAACAATAACGTTGCTTGCATGCTCACAAGCTATTCAGCTTCAACAAAACCTCCATTTTTATTTAGATGAAACCTTTGATTTCTCACACTTTGCAATCCATATCTTCAATAGTTAACAACATAAAAGTATCGATAACTTAAAAATTATGGAGTATAAGATTTGATATTTGAAAAATCAAATATATAATAAAATCAATCTAATACACCCCACATTACTATGTTTTTCCTCACGGATACGACCAAAGCAATAATGTTGCCTGCATACTCATGATATCTTTAATTATCAATAAGTTAAAATTTGACTTTTGGAGAGTATAGATTAAGACGAATCACACAAGACCTCACGTGACCTATATTTTGCCTCGTGAAAAAATCATCAGAAAATGAGATTGCAAATTTAGTGAATAGTGAAATTTTCAAGAAATTTCATCTTAAAAAGCAGAGGAAGTAAATGAAATATACCAAGAGCCCCCCCCCCCCCCCAACCCCCACACCAAAAAAAAAAACTCCATGAAAAGTAAACAGCAGAATCTTCGATTAAAAATTGTTTTTTTTCCTTCTTATTTGACAGCTGAGCAGAAGAAGCATCAATTGTTATACCGCTCATACACTTATAGTTGGGAGTACCCAAAGAAAGGAGTGGGAGCTGCACAATCTTAAAGCAGTGACGAACAATGGGGATTAAATATGTACAGATTAAAGCTCGTGATTTAAGTAACCAATAACACTAAACACAATGTACAGAAAAGCCAGTCAACTTCAAAGACAACAATATTCATCTGGCTGCTGAATACCATGCAAAACTCTAGGAGATTGCCTAAAAAAAAACTAGCAACTAAAATATAAATGACATTATTGTCATGCATAAGAAATACCATACCAGAGTTAGGCGGCAAGAACACCAACACAGCAAAATCCATGTTGGTGTCACAAAATAATCCTACCCAGCAACACCTTCTAGTAAAAGTTAGTCAAGTAAAACAGAACTAACAACCACTTCAAAGGCTAGCACATGCTTAATCTATATCAAGATGATTTACCACAGCATAACCAATGTAATAGTTTATCCCAAGCATACAGGACCAATATTGGATAATCTATCAAATGAACTTGTGGGTGACAATGTGAAACCAGTACTTCATAGCTCATCTCATGTACCAGATGTCCAATATATCAATATGGAGCTAAAATACGACTTACAAACACGAGAGATAACTTCCTCGGAATGTGTTTATCACGCAGCCTTCCAGTTATCTTGTGGTGGTAAATGGCAAAAATATTCTTGACATCAATCTGTCTCACAACATTCTATATACAATAAAGTACAAAACCTTGGAGCATAACTAAAAATGATCAGTCATATCTACTTTGAGAAAAATTGAATTTTCGATCAATTACTTCCCCTCCTATAATCCTTTCAAACCACACCAACCATCCACCAAAACCACAAAAAGGTGTAAGCACTCACTCCATGACAAGAACTTCAATTACCTGACAACCCAATTGATACTTATACAACACCAAACTTGTCCATCAAAAACACAATGGCTAGAATGCACAGCAAAGAGATTAATTATTTATATATAGAAAAGGCAAAAAGATCCAACATTCCATTAAAGAGACAATGGGTTTTCCCTGTTAATAGAAGTAAGCAGATGAAGATGGATGCTGAATAAGCAACTGAGTATATAAGATGAGCATTAATCATCTATGCTCTCCATAGAGATATTATAAAGGTCACCAATATATATACTTCCTCCGTTCTGTTAATATTGCAACGAGGAAATTACGCATCCCAAAACACATTTTATATGCTAAATATCTATTATTGTGTAAGAGTAAAAATTATAAAATATTGACATTGTGAAAGTATTTTATAAGACGAATCCAACAATATCCCACTTGACTATATTTTGCTTGACGTATAACTCATATTATATGGTCAAACAAGAGTGATGAATAGTGCAAAAAGTCCATTGTTGCAATATTAATAGAACGGAGGAAGTATATATATATATATATTGTTAGGAAATCTACTATCCTAGCATTATCACATTATAGAAGCCAAAGTAAATATCTACAATACTGCAAAACAGTCAAATTATCAATAAAGCATAACAGCAGAAATTTGCAAGCAGTTACAAGAAACAAAAGTTGAACATGAACTCAATCTCTAGAGTCTAGACCAGCCTATAGAAATGAAAAATACCAGCATAAGCATTTAAATCGTGGTACTCAAATGATTAAAGTCCTCCCCAAAGGTCATATGATTTAAAG